AAGCCGTCAGCGTACCCACTGCATATAGTGGCGATATCCAGGTTCGGATGATGCGTCGCCACCGAAGTCAGCACCCCCGACGCTTCGTAGAACAACCCGCTCGTGATAAGGTCTCGGACCACATCCGGGACCTCCGCCAGCTGGACGGCGGGCGCGCAAGTGCTTGGCACCGACCTGAAGACCTCCGAAACGACAAGCTGGGCAACGTTGCGGATCTGATCAAGTTCCCCCTCGAGAGCACGTCGGTCTTCACGGGACTTGGCCAGCTCCTCCGCATTCCGGCTGAAAGTCGCCTTGACCGTTTCCAGGTCCTGCTCCAGCGACTTCACCTTTCCACCCAGCTCTGAAAGAAGGGCGATGAGCTTAGAAACAGGCTGAAGGAAGAAACCGACACGACGAAAAAATAGAAAAGGTACGTACCGACGTGGAAGTTCTCAAGGTTGGAGAATTCCTCCGCCTGCCAGGCCACCTGCTCGTGCAGCCGGGTGCTCACCTCCTCCATCCCCATCACCCGGCCCTGAAGTGCGAGCACTTCCCGGTCTGCCTCCGACCAGGCCTTCCGCTCTGACTCCAGGGCCTTCCACGCCAACTACAGGGCGTTCCGCTCTGACACCAAGGCGCTTCGCTCCGACTGAAGAGCCGCTAAGGATTCCTGGAGCGCCGCCTCGGTCTCCGCCTGGCGGGCCTTAGCCGCCTCAAGCCCCACTCGGCGGCGGTCGCCCGCTCTGCTGCACGCTGCCCCTCAGCCCGCGCCGCGGTCGCCTCGGCCATTCGGTCCTAGGACTCGCGACGGGCGGACTCAAGCTGACGCTCAAGCTCAGCCACCCTGGCATGCTCCATTCGGAGGAGGCGGGACTTGCGGGATGACATCTCCTTCAGACCCTATGGAAAACAAGCAGGCTAAGGCAACCAACAAGAGATTCATAGGTCAAGGACAAGTACGGGAAACTCACCTCCATGGCGAGCTGCAGGTCAACCTCGACTAACTGCTGGGCGGACTTAACCCGCTTCTGGGCGTCTTCAAGCTTCAGGGACAGGTTGGCGAGTTCGAACACTGCAGCATGTCCTTGCCCCCTAAGGATGTCCTAGAGCTGACGCTCCTGTGAATCTCGAAGGACGAACCGCACCTGTGTCGGGTCCTCGGGGCAGGGCCACTCCAGGTCACCCTCCGGCAGCCCACCAGAAGGCCCCGCCTCCGACCGAACCACCGCCAACTCCCGCGACTACGCCGGCAGCTCCGCCACTACATTCGCCTCGTCGTCAGATGGGATATCCACCACCTCGGTTGCCCGGGCCGCCGCCAGGTGTTCTGACTCCGTCCCAGCCACGTCTCCCCCCGGCGCCATCAGCTCCGATCGCGAGGGCGAGTCGTGCAGCCCTCCACCCTGCGAGGCAGGGAGCTCGGTCTTCCTCTCCTCTTCTGCCACGACTGGTGGAGGAGGGGCTGTGAGACTTACCCCCGACGCGACCTCCGCCGTCAGCACCGGGATCGCCGCCAACGCCGACGCCGCCACTGCCTCCGTACCAGCAACCGACCCGGGGGGCACCACCCCCGGAAGGAAAGGGCTCGCTGCCACCACCCTGTTCCCCCCGTCGCTCGCAGCGACACGCTGCAGGGTGGGCCTCCAGGTCTCCTGCACGGGGGTCGGGGCGATGCTCAACCCCGACATCGCCCAGCCACTGACATAAAGTGTAGGTAGGTCACACTCCAAAAAGACTCAATAACAAAAGATCGAAAAGAAACAAAGAAAAACGTACCAGGAGGTAAGCGGCACTACTCTGAAGGCAAGACCCGATGTCGACGGGCCTGCTGGGCAAGGACCGCTCCCAGGCTGCGACCCGCGCCCCCTCACTTCAGCCTAGGGCAGAGTCGTCCCAACCAGCTCCTGCCCGGCCTGTGGGTCGCCACGACACTCGGCTCAGGACTCTCTGACCAGAGCAGCAGCCGGGGCATCCTCCGACTGCGAGTCACGCGACACACGGGTGCCAGTCCGCTCCTTGGACTGCCCGGCTTGCTCAACCGTGTCTCGGCAAAGGGCATCCTCCGGCCGCGAAGTCGCTACCGGCACCAGTCCCGCGACGCCTTGGTGCCGGTGCCTCCGACCGCTCCTCGGACCGTCCGGCTTGCTCGGCCGTGTCCGCGGCAGGCGGGGACGGGACCGGCGATGCCACCAAGGGGCGTGGTGACCGCGTCCGCTTCGCTTCCCATTCACCGACGACGTCTGCGCTCGCCGCACGCTTCTGCTGCGTGGGAACCACCGCGCGCCTCTCCGCCTCCCACTCGTCATCAGTGGACGTCGCCGCAGGGTCGCGATGCTCTGCCGAGGTCACAACGACCTCCCGACTTTCTCCTTCTCGGAGAAAACCATGTCATCCACATCCGTGGGATCCTCTGACGCGAGAAAACCATGTCATCCACGCCGGCCGCCGGCGTATTGATGCACGTCAAGACTCGGCGGAACCCTCCACCACCGGCGGTGCGCCACACGGTTCTCCTCCCCACTGCGGCGTCCACCATGAAGGCGTCCTTCCTCGCGCCGCCATCCCGCTCGCGGCCGGGCTGGCCACACGCGCGCACCTCGATCTCATCCTTGGCGTAGCTCGACGCGCACGCAACGCCAACGGATCGGAGGAGAATTAATTACGAGTGGACGATGGATCGGGATGGATGCTTTGCGTGCGTCTCGCTGCGTACCGAGGAGGTGGGCGAGATCGAGGAAGGCGGCGTCGGTCTCGGTGGTGGACGAAGAAGAAGTCCTCGCCGGCAGCGGCGGCGGCGGTGACTTGCACGCATGAGGTCGAGGTCCATGGTCAATGCGCGCCGCTGGCTTGCCTCGGCGGCATGGACGATCTGTGGTGGTGGTGCCATGCGTGTGGGGTGGATTCTCGTGGCTTAAACCTCGAGTCGGAGCAGGTCCGGACTGGACCCGAATGTGAGCGCGTCTTGAGGTCGGAGGCAGCATGGCATGGCGGGCGGGTGCCTTTGCATCGGTAGCACGCAACACGGATGCATTCCTCTCGGGGTGGGTTTGGAATGAAGAGATGCTCCGCCGGCGCGCGGAAAGGCTAATTGATTGGTCCTTGCCAAAGAGACCGACACTTGCGGCGAAATGAGTCGAACGTATTCAGATTTCAGAGCAAACGCCTTCGCTATTAAGCAACCTACTAGTTTTTGTAAAGCAAAAAAAAAAAAAGAAAAGCCTGTGCAGGCGCTATGTAATTGCAGGTTTAATTCGTTGCAATTTATGTAGGCATAATCTGTAATTTTCGGTTCCGGGAATGAAAAATCCGGTAGATAAAACCACAAACACGACAAAATTTGATATGTGTTGGCGCAAAGACAATTAATTAACAATTTAAAATTATTTTATAGTTAGATAAGGACAAAAAAATTTGATGTGTTATGATACAAATACAAATAACAAATCACAAAAAGTAACAATTTTTTTGTACTAGTTAGATTATACAAAAGTGTTGCTTCAAATCTTCTTAAAATTTAGAAATAAAGGAGAAGTGAAAAAAAAGATGCTGGGACTCCCAGCTCTACGTTTACGTGCAAACCAGGAGATACTGTCTCTAACACGGTTGCATTGTTTAGTTCAGCAGACCCAGACCTCAATTGGTCCGTTGGTTTGGAAAGAAATCTTTTGGCGGTGTTCCAATCTACGATGTGTTCATCTCATGAGTGCAATCTCCTTCAGTTCTTCGAAGCATTTTTTTCTAGAGTAAACAAGATAGTACAAGATTGGAGACACATGTACGTACTCGCGCGCGCAGCACTCATATTGGCTTCTCCGGTGAATTAGACTATGGATTTCTGGATCTTATTGGTGTTACTGTTGGGGATTTGAGAGTTTAAGGTTTTGGATATCTGAGGATTAGACGGAGGAGAAAAGATATCCATGGTGAAGAATGTTCGCGGAGGTGTGGTAGTGCAATAAAGGTGGCCAGCTTGGTATGAGAAGTTGTCCCATCTAGAGCTAAAGTGTGGGCTTTGGATAATTTTGTTAGGAGTGAAGGCCCCTCTTTAGGTGACTTTCCCCTCTTTAGTGCAATAAAAGATTAATCAGGTATGGAAAATTTGACTTAATAACTTTAATAGGTGGCTGTGCACCTATTGTGAGATTTAAAATGATGAAAGACGTCCGCACACGCGTCGCAAACAGGCTACGACAAGAACGGTGCGATACTAATGAATGTTTTAAAATTTCACACTCAAAATAAGAAGGGTGGAGGTGACGACACCAGACGATTTAGCACATATATGAGCGCGTGTTTAGTTGAAGGGAAAGTTGGAATTTGGCTACTGTAGCACTTTCGTTTTTATTTGACAATTAGTGTTCAATCATGTACTAATTAGGTTCAAAACGTTCGTCTCGCAATTTCCAACCAAACTGTGCAATTAGTTTTTTTTCGTCTACATTTAATGCTCCATATACGTATCGCAAGATTCGATGTGATGGCTACTGTAATACTTTTTTGAAATTTAGGGTGAGAACTAAACACGCGCTGAGTGAAACAACTACACAGTACTAGAACAATACCGTACGTGGTCAGACGATGTCAGTTGACTGACTAGTTATTGCTATAAGCCCATGTGCAAGTCTAAACGCAAATAATCCTCACGTACGGCAAAAGTAAAACCACCATAGTTTCCATTACAATATAGGAGCCTTCTATTACTAAGTATGATTAACCATGTTGACGGGGACGGTAATAATACCGATTTACCGACGTACTCATCAATTTGCATGTACGTATACGTACAGGCCGGCCGGTCACTGTCACTACGCCCAATCACACATGCCACGTCTGTCTACTCATCTGGAAAAAGTCCCATTTTCGCTTTGACCCTCCAACACTAGCTATATAACCCCCTGCGTTGCATTACATCTCCTGTCCATCATCAAGTTAATCTGAGCTGAGCATCGATCAAGTCATAAGAAACGCAGCTAGCTAATCCACAGCACATACACAGTGTTACAGAAACAACGACGACAATGGCCGCTTGGACAACAAGGAAGGCGAGCACCACCACCAACGAGGCCGGTTTCTTCACTCGCGCCGACGACAAGCAGAGGAAGATTAGGGCCCCGAAAGGGTACCTCCCCATAGTGCTGGTCCGCGACGACGACGGCGACGACGAGGGCGGTGCAGGGACGACGGAGGCGAGGGTGCTGGTGCGTGTGAGCGACCTCAAGGAGCCGTGCATGGCTGCGTTGCTGGAGGCGGCCGAGGAACAGTTCGGGTACGGCCAGCAGGGGGTGCTCAAGGTCCCCTGTGACGCGCAGCGTTTTCACCATGTGGTTAACATGGCACGCAAGTCCCCAAAGTACTAAAGTAGCTACTGCTAGTAGTAGATAAAATATGAGTATAATATGGAGTTATCGCGTGTACGTACGTACGCGGTTTTGCTGCGAAACGACATAGATTCTTCTTCTTCATTCATATATATATATATATATATATATATATATATATATATCGCTACGGTTGTTGTAGTCGAGGTTGTTCGACTAGGTTAGACAGATATATGATGTAATTCTACCGCAAATTCGATGATGGTGAGGCACGGAAGTGCTACTTAATTGTATCTCCTTTGTTGTTTTGTCGTTTTGTCGTTGTTATTACATACCCCATCTGTCCTAAAATAAACATAGTTTCCGTTTTTAGAGAAGTCAAACACCTTTAACTTTGACCAAATATATACAAAAATATTAATTTTATACTACATAATTATGTTGAATTTATTTTCATAATAAATTTATTTGGAGATACAAATATTGATAATATTTTCTATAAATTTAGCTAAACTTAAAAAAATTGACCAGCACACATGAATTAACCACTTGTCCTTTCTCTTAGACAATAATTATTGGTTGCTTAGCAGGAAATGTAACCCGTTCACACTAAAGAGATCTATCATACTTTTTTAAAACTCACGTTCAGCAAATGTATATGTCTGTATTGTTGAATTTATTTTGCATCGCCACTTCTTTTACTAAGGTAATAGTTCCAAAATTTATACTATGTAGATGGATTACACCCCTATGAAAATCCTCGAATAAAGCTGTTAAATACTCCTTTATCATGTTTCAGAATACTTGATAGAATTCTGCAAGGAGATTCTGAGCCGAATTATGATTCATTTGAAAAATGGTGTCCTTAACTTCAGCTTCCAACAAGTTTTGTGTTTGGATTTCGTTTCCTCTACTGCTAAAATATCTTCTATACGAGTCTTATCCGTTATCACAAAAGAAGGTTTAGGAGCTCCAAACACGCTCTCGTACATTTTGGTGATATATATACTTTTTAAACTTAGCATCACCAGACTACAGGGCGTGGCTAGCGCCCGGATGTCCGGACGCTAGCCCCGTCTGGAAAGCCCGTGCCTGTCCAGTCTGCTGCGCCTACACTTTGCGTACCGCCTGACCCCCCCCCCTATGTGGCGTCTGTGCCCCACCCGACCCCATGCGGCATTTGTGCCCTCTCTTGACCCCACGCAACGTCTGCGCCCTGCACGATCCCTTGAGACCTCCAGCAGCTGCAGCAGACGGGTCACATTGCAATATGTGGAACACCCGATCTACTTTTCAAACATCCAGATGCAACACTTGCAACATACGTCTGGAGATAGATGAAACCCTTGAAACATGCATCTGAAACATTCGCAAAAACAACTAAAAAACACTTGAAAATCATTGCAAAATACACAACATCAAGATAAAACACTTGCAACATATATGTGAAACATATGAAATATCTAGATAACCACACTTGCAACATATGTCTGAAAAATCAGATGAAACATTGGGAACAGATGTTTGCAACATACATGTACAACCATTGCAACATATGCAACATCTCGATCTACTTTTGCAACATCGATGCGAAATACTTGCAACATACCTCTGAAACATCTAAAACACTTAAAACTTGCAACATCCGAGGAAGGAAGGGAGCACGAGGTGCAGCCGGAGAAGCCTGCTCCGAGTCTGGCCACTCCGGATCTTGTGATGTCATGAGTTGAGGTCGAGCGTCGTGGCGGCACCGGCGTCGCCAGTGGCCACGACCTCCTGGTGGGGAATGGCGACGTCGGCAACACCTCGACGCGGCAGGGGACGGGGCACGACGCAGCGAGGCGCAGTGGGCGCGACAGGGGATGGAGCGTGACGCTACACAACGCGGGATGGGGCGCCGCCGTGAGGCGGCTTGAGGCGTGCGGACGGTGCGGTGAGCCACAACGAGCGAAGCAAGGAGTTGGGGATTTCTGTCGGCGTTAGCACTGTAGATAAAGGAGAGAGCGGAGATGGGCTTGATCGCTGTGCTGGCTCGGGAACAGGCGTCCAGACGGACGCCCTCACCACATCATTAGCACATATTATACTCTCCACTTGTTCCAATTGAAAGATTCAAGTTTTTCTGTTATTCCCATTCAGTCACTAATTAAAAGTACTTAGTATATAGGTATCCCCTTCCAGTAAAAATTTTGAACTTTACTTTTTGATACCATTTTAATCCTTCTTCAGTAGCCGTGTTAGTAGTTAAACGAGAGAATTCTGTATTTGGCACTGAAACAAATCAGTCTTTCATATTTGGCACTGAAAATTTTAAACTTCCTTATCTAGCATCAACTTGAAAATTTCTTGCGTATATAGCACTTCCGTCCATTTGATGCAGTAACGGTGTCAAGTGCCACCTAAAATGACATAAATGCCATTCTATGTACCAGCAACATGTAGTGCCAAATAGAAAAAGAATAAATAGACATAATGTCAAATAAAAAAAGCACAAATATCACAAATATACTTGTGAATGAAACGTAGCATTTTGATAATTGAAGAGTGCACAGCTTCATAAATCTGACCACATTATCAGCATAATTAAAAAAAAATGTAAACATCTTGCTGTGCCAGCCTGCGTGCTGTTAGTTTCTTTTACAAAGGTCTGCATGCTGTCGGTGGCGTAAATACAATACACTCCACGCGCGTACGAGTACATACGTCATCAGGAAAAAAAGCATGTTTGTTTGGCTGTGGCCCCACTCGATACGAATTTCATTACAAACCAACCAGAAGTACTTTTTTACGAATCGAGAATCACGAACCGAGTCCGAGAAACGCCCCCAGCCCCAGGCGAGGTCCAGGCCCCCCTGCAATAATACATGACGTCACCATCCTCCGAGCAAATTGTGCTACCCGGCAAAGACAAAACCATCATTAAGCTAGCAGCGGCCACTTCCACCAGATCGATGGGCTGCGGCCATCATGGCTCGCGTCCGGTCCGCCATGATGGCAAGAGGTCAAGCCCACGTAGCACTGATCCATCAGGGCAATCGCCCGTCGTCCCTTGGCTTGTACTGCACGACGAGGCCTTCCGAGTTCCGAACGCCGAGCAGCGTCACTGCGTCAGACAAAGGGAGATGCACTTGATCACCTGTTATTATTGAGCATGTTCGCTTGAACTTATCAACTAAAATCTACAGTATTTTTCTCTCACAACAAAACAGCTTTAGTCAGCCGGTTTTAATACCAGCCGAACAGGACTATCCTCTGCAGACGGAGGACGGGAGGAGGCCTCAACCACCACCACACACCACCGCACGCGTCCATCGTCCACGACCGCACCAAACCGTCATGTGAAACGCGCTGGCTTTGGTTTGCTTGCTCACTGTGCTCGTCCTCGACGCAAGGTGTTTACAATTTTTTTTGTTTTTTAAGTATGCTGATAATGGGTCTGTTCGCTTGTCTGAATTTTGGAGGAATCTGGATGGTTTGGAGGAATGTTGGAGGAATTTGTGAGAGAAAAACACTGTTCCAGATAAAAAAAATAAGCGGATCAAGCCGGGTTTAAGGGCACGCGAACGGAGCCAATGTGGTCAGATTTGTGACGCTTGTGCATCAAATTTATTGATTATTATTGCTACTCTTCAATTATCAAAATGCTATGTTTCATTCAAAAGTATATTTATGATATTTGTGCATTTCTTATTTGATATTATATCCATTTATTATTTTCCTATCTAGTACTGCATGTTGCTGGTACATAGAAGTGTATATATGTCATTTTAGGTGACACTTGACACCGTTACTGCATCAAGTGGACGGAAGTGAAGGAATTTTCAAGTTGATGCTAGATAAGGAAGTTCAAAATTTTCAGTATCAAATACGGAAGAATGATTTGTTTCAATGTGAAATACAAAATTCTCCTTAGTTAAATATATACGCCGAAATTGCATACTCTTTGGAGTTTCAGTCGTCACGAGGACTTGCGAGCAAAACAACAAAACCTTGCAGGCGGCAGGTGAACTGACAAAAGAACCGGCAGGCCAAATCTGAATATTCAGAAACAGCCACAGAAATACAGTGGCGTCAGCGTTAATTACTTTTGCTGACCAATAGTTCATTAGCTTCGAAGCCGGCCGTTCATCGGAATTATCTGAGGAAACGGCCTGTTCACACAAACCAGCATAGCAGCATCCTATATATGCAGCAAACCTGTTGATCAGAATTTTTTGTCAGTGAAGTGAACTCGAAAAGAAGGACATCCACACGATCGAGCAAATGGCTCCTGCGTCCTCCCTGCCATGGCCTCTACTCCTGTTCATCGTCTTGGTCTCGTGGTGCGGCCGGAGCTCCGCCGGCGTTGACCCGACCCTAGACTTCATCGCCGTCAACCTCACCGAGGACCGGTTCAAGCTGCACCACCCGTACGACCTGCCGCCGGAGCAGCGGTACGAGTTCCGCGACGGCGTGTGGCGGATGTGGGTGTACTGCACCGACAAGCCCTTCAGCCGCGGCAGCCCCACCAAGCCGCGCTCCGAGATCCTCCTAAACGTACATATATCTTTAAGCCAACAGCATCACTAATCTTCCCTATCAACGCTAATCATGTTGCCAATTAATCCTGTCCAGCAGCAATTCAATCCTGAGCTAGCTGTTCGCAAGAGGTCAAGCCCACGTAGCACTGACCCATCAGGGCAATCGCCCGTCGTCCCTTGGCTTGTACTGCACGACGAGGCCTTCCGAGTTCCGAACGCTGAGCAGCGTCACTGCGTCAGACAAAGGAGATGCACTTGATCACCCGTTATTATTGAGCATGTTCGCTTATCAACTAGAATCTATAATATTTTTCTCTCACAACAAAACAACTTTAGTGAGTCGGTTTTAATAACAGCCGAACATGACTATTCTCTGTAGGCGGAGGACGGGAGGAGGCCTCAACCACCACCACACACCACCGCGCGCGTCTATCGTCCACGACCGCACCAAACCGTCATGTGAAACGCGCTGGCTTTGGTTTGCTTGGGCCCTGTTTAGTTCCACTTCATTTTGCCAAA